AAAAAAAAAAAAAAAAAGGCAAGTGGAGGCATCTGCTGAGAAAGGGAGTCATGTAGGAGGTTGGAGGAGAGAGAAGAAGAAAATACTGAGAAGCACAAATTAAAATACGAAAGTTACTAATATTTCAGTCACTCAGAATTACAATTAGTATCTTGACGTATTTACTTTTAGTACTTTTGTGTGTTGAGATATGTATTCACTCTTAGAAAAAACTGGCTAAATTGCTTTATAACAGTTTTTATTCAAAAATATATCAAGAGCCATTGTGTGCCATTTAATTTTTTCTTTTTTGGTTTTTCATGTTGAAAAATGAAAATTCCTAGTGTATTTAATTAATCCTCTATTGTATGAAATACAGGATGCTTTTTCATTTTATCGGTAATGTTAGAACACACATCCTAATGAATAATCTTTTAGCACATTCTGGTTATTTCCTTAAAATAAATACCTAAGAATAGAATTCTTGTTAATATTTTAAAGCACTTATATTGTTAAATTACTTTCCAGGAAAGCATGTACATGTTTATACTCCAGTAGTAATATAGGAGAATATCCACTTGCCTGTTCAACAGTGGCTGAAAACAAAAACTTGGTCTTTTTAGTAGCTTCCTCTATCCCCTAACACCCCAAGGAACAGAAGAGAAATGGTATCTCACTGCTTAATATACCTTTTATTAGGCTTTCTGTGAAGAGCTGGAGTCAATGATACAGGAACAATTTAAAAAGGGGAAGAATCCCACAGGCCTCTTGGCATTACAGCAGATTGCAGATTTCATGACCACGAATGTCCCGAACGTCTATCCAGCTGCCCCACAAGGAGGGATGGCTGCCTTAAACATGAGTGAGTAGCTCCTAACTTTTTTATATATGCTCTGAAATGGTTCAGGTAACATTTCCTAAAGCTTGCTCACATCTAATAGATGGGCATGCAGCTATGTATTACATAGAGTTGAGTGTTTTGGAGGCAAATGTGTTTTAGTTAGTTATAGTAAAAGATAGTCTGTATACCTAAAACTGTCGTGAACGTAGAGGGCTCTGTTTTTATAAGCCAGTGTGGCACCATCATTTTCAAGGCAGATAACTTTATGTGACTTCTTAGACCTGTTGTTAATTAAATAAACTAATCAGAAATAATGCTTGTGGAGTAGCACAGCAACTTTGCTTGAATTCATTTCAGCCAGGCCAACATTTCATATCCACCAATATTTCTTACCTACCATTCCTCACTGCTGCTTGGAAACCAGTGAGAAACAGAAAAATTCCCAAAGAAAAGCCAGAGGGAAAATGTTGGGTAGGTGAATGTGAGCAAAGAATGGTGAGCTTCGAGGTTTGCTGTGGTTATTGAGTTTGTAAGTGTCTCCCTGAGCCCAGAGAGACTTGACCATCATCTGGTGTGCCCTGTTGTGTTGTGTCTTTGTCACTCTCTCAGGGGTCTTGTTGAAAAGTCAGAGCTGATTGACCAGTTGTCATTATTTTTTTTTTTTAGCTGGTTTGGGCTAGGTTGGAACCCACCAGCCTCGGTGCATGTGGCTGGCACCATAACCACTGTGCTATGGGCGCTGAGCCATTTTTTACTTTCTTTTAAATACTGTCTCTGTGTTTTGATCTTGTTATGCATATAGCTTCTAGTTTTTACTTATTTATTTATTTTTTGAGACAGGATCTCACTCATGTCACCTAGCCTGGGGTGCAATGGCTCTATCACAGCCTTGCACTCCTGGCTTCAAGTGATCCCCCTGCCTCAGCCTCCCAAAATACTGGGAATATAGGCATATGCCACCCCAGGCATCTAATTTACTTTCATGTTCTAGCACCTCAGTTCTGAATTTTGGTAATATATAATGTTTTTTCATATCTTATTTTGTTAATGCCTTTAGGTTGTCATGAAATATGACTGATACACTTAGCTACTTTGTAAAAATAAAAAGATAAAAAATTGTCGTGAAATAATAGGCTATAGTTTTCATCTGTTTTGAATGAACAGATGAAACATCCAACATTTTGGATGCTTTTTTGGTCATGCTATTTTCTGTTCTTTTTTATATGAAACTAGTTTCCCTGAAGGAGCTTGTTCAGGAAAGCTTTTCTAATATTGCTCTATAGTCCCCTTGTCTATTGTTTTTGTGAAGTGTTAAAAAAATATGGCAGCTTATTTAATGAAATGTGTTTCTGTTCTTTTGCTTTTATCTGGACCTCTTCTTTCCTTTTCTTGGTATTCTTGTGCTATTTGGTTTAGTTCTAATTTCCACAAGTTCTCAGTGTGGGACTGCCCTGAAGGGAGTTGTGGCTAGTGTGGAGAATTTGTAAGGATTAAAGTGTACAGAACTCTTATTGGTTTCAGCTCCTATTCTCAAGTTGACTCTCAGCTTTCCATTGAGTTCTTGTTGGTTCGCTGGAGAATCTTGAGTCTGGCTTTTCTCAGTGTCCCCTCCACGGATGGTGATGGCACTTAGTCATCATCTCTACCCACTATGTTCTCAGTTCTGTGGGTCTACTGGATACTTTGTGTAGTACAGGTATCATCCTTGGGTTTGTGGTTTAGTTACAACCACAACTAGACCCTAGTTGTTCTAGTTAATTTCTTAAAATGCCCCCTACTTTTTTTTTTGAGAGAGAGAGATTGAGTCTTGCTGCGTCCCTCAGGTTGCAGTGCTGGTTGTAGCCCACTATACCATTGAACTCCTGGGCTCAAGCAAGCTGCCCACCTCCGCCTTCCAAATAGCTGGGATTACAGAAACAAATCACTGCACCTGGTTTCTAGTTATTTTTTTGTTAGGTCGAGAGAGGGATTTAGGAAGAAGTAAAAACTATGCAGTCGCTACTACCATCTTCTGATAATTTTCTATAAAACAATTTTTGAAGTTTAAAAATCTGGGCAAGCCAGGGTGGCTGACTCCTGTAATCTTGCACTTTGGAGGCTGAAGTGAGATCACTTGAGCCCAGGAGTTCAGGTTGCAGTGAGCTGTGATCATGTCATTGTGCTCCACCTGGGCAGCAGAGAGAGACTGTCCAAAGTGAAGAAAGAAAAGAATCAAATCTAGCAATACATAAAGAAGATAATAGGTCTTAATCCATTGGGGTCATCCTCTTAAACACTTTTTCTTCCTTTTCCTGTGTTATTTTTTCTTCCTTTATTGCATTGGCTAAAAACTTCAGTGCAATATTAAGTAAGAGTACAAGAGTATGCATCCTTGGCATTGTTCTCAGTATTAGAGGAAAACATTTGGTTTTTCATCATTATGCTTGATGTTAGTGGTAGATTTTTTTTTTTTTTTTTT